TAATCATCCCTCGGTGTGCCTACTTTATCCTCACACCAGAGACACCCCCATGGGCCCTGACACCCCCATGGGCCCTGCACCCCCAGGGGCCCTACAGCAGCTGGAAGCTGGGGTTCCACCTGAGCATTAGCAGAAGTGCATCCAGGGTTCCCCAGAGGCAGGGAAGGTAAGCCTTGGTCTCATGGACTTTGTCATGCGATCAGGGGAGACCAGTCCCTGGGAAGGGGCAGCAAAAAAGGGGACCTGACCCAGTGGCTGCACCCATGGGTCTCAAACAGAACCACATGTGTGAGGAGGGGCCAGAACCAGACTGGTGCGCAGGGTCGTTGTGGGTCAGAACTCACGGGCACCCGAGAACACGCAGATGACCCCAGGCAGCCACACGCTGCTCCTTCTCCACATCTGTACTTCCTCTCGGGGCTGAAGCCAGCACCGGATGACAAAAATAACTGCAGCGTGAGATCCCAGAGAATGAGGAGGAGGAGGAAGAGGAGGCGCGGGCCTTCTTCTGCCTCAGCACACAGACCTAGCGCACAGCAGGCAGCCGGGCAGTGCCAATGGATCAGTCGATTGACAAACAGGCCGATGCGGGGTGGAGCCACTGCTCACAATGGCACCGCGGGCAGAGTGCTAGACTCAGCCAGAAGCAGTCAGCCTTCCACCGATCACTTCTTCTCAGGTACCACCCATTCAGCTCCAAGTCACAGGGAGCCCCACGCCCACAGAAGGAAACACTGCTGGCCCTGCACCATCCACACCACCCTTGCAATGGGTGAGCCCATGGCTGCACCCACCGTGCCAATCCATCTCATGCAGGGTCTTCCTCTTTTCCATCAGCCATCCACTAGACTGTGTGAGTCCGGGTGGACTAGAGAAACGAATCCAGAGACACTTATCTGTGTCTAAGGAAGAACTTTCTATCAGAGTAACTGTGCATCAAGAAACCATCCCAGCCCAGTCCAGAGCAAGTCCATAAGTCTGATATCAGCCCATATTTCTGATATCAGTCTATAAATTCCTCTTCAGACTCACGCACCACATGCAATGATGCCGAGTGCCGGAAGGTCACAGGCCAGTGGGTGGAGAGCCTTGTGGATCCAGTGGCGGTGGAAGCATCTCAGCGCTGGCATGGGTCTCCACGTGGCTCCTCCAGCTCCAGGGCTCTGGCTCCATCAGCGTGGCACCACGTGTGTTGTCAACAGGAATGTCTCGCAGAGAGTGTGTGTCCCGCCTCCCAGGAAGAAGACAGGAGTTCCCAGAATCCTCAGGAGAAGGCCACGCCCACCCAGAGGCCCCATTGGCTATGACCTGATTGACAGGCTAGACTCCACCCCTTTGCTCAAGTTGATAGATGACGTAGCTGCCACATCTACCATACATGATGTCCTTCTCCAGGGACTGGTCTCTCCTGCTAAAGAGCTTCATCCCCTCCCTTCTAAGGAGCACGCGGACTGTCCTTCCAAGGAGCATGTGTTCCGCTTCAGGCAGGCCATGGGATGTATGTTCACCTGCACCACGGTTCAAAGGCATCCATTCTTCTCGGGCCTCCCCCTTCCTCCTGTCCAGCTTTTGTGTGACAGGACCAATACTGAGACTAGCGATACCAGGAGGGTAAGGGAAAGGTGGGGGAGAAAGGGAGAACCGATCACAAGGATCAACATATAACCCCCTCCCAGGGGGACGGACAACAGAAAAGCAGGTGAAGGGAGACAGCGGTCCATGTAAGACATGAAAAAATAAAAATAATTTATAAATGATCAAGGGTTCATGGGGGGGAGGGGGATGAGCTGATACCAAGGGCTCAAGTAGGAAGAAAATGTTTTGAAAATCATGAAGACAACCTACATACAAATGTGCTTGGCACAACGCATGGACAGATGGATTGTGGGAAGGCTGTCAGAGCCCCCTATAAAATGGTTTTTAAAAAATAAAGAAGCACACCAACCTGTGAGATCACAAGGTATCGAAGGGAGCAGGTATCAGGCATCAAACACACACAAAAAAATCATAGCATTGTGAATGAGGGGGAGTGCAGAGTGGGAACCAAAGGTCCATCTGTGGGAAATTGGACATCCCCTTGCAGAAGGGCTGCAGGGAGGAGATGAGCCAGTCTGGGTGCACTGTAGCAATGATGAAATATACAATTTTCCTCTAGTTCTTGAATGCTTCCTCCCCACCACTATCATGATCCCAATTTTATCTTACATATCCTGCTGGACCGGAGGATGTACACTGGCACAGATAGGAACTGGGAATCCAGACAGATGAACCCCTCGGGACCAGTGGCGAGAGTGGCGATACCGGGAGGGTGGAGGGAAGGTGAGGGAGAAAGGGGGAACAGATTACAAGGTCTACATAGAACCTCCTCCCCGGGGGACAGACAGTGGAGGAGTGGGTGAGGGAGACGTAGGATGGTGTAAGATATGACAAAACCCTTATAAATTATCAATGGTTTAAGGGGGGGGGAGCTCTGAGGGAGGGGGAAAAATGAGGAGCTGATACCAAGTGAGGAGCTGAAAGCAGGTGTTTTGAAAATGATGATGGCAACATATATACGAATGTGCTGGACACAATTGATGTGTGTATGGATTGTGGTAAGAGTTGTATGAGCCCCTAATAAAATGATTTAAATTTTTAAAGGACAAGTAGAAATGGACAAGCCAGGGAAGTAGAGTACTGCTGCATTGAAGAGTCTGCGATCAAAGTCACAAAACAAAATGTCTTTAAACCCTGAAATGGGAAAATAATAGGCTCTGTAGACTTTCACCTAAACTACCGTAAAACTAAATAACAAACCACGTGATCAGCAATTCATGCCCACAACCACCCTGTGGGAAAAAGTTGAGGCTGTCTGCCGCCATAATGATTCACAATCTCAGAACCCTCTAGAGGATGGCTAGGAGTCAAAATGAACTCAGAGGCAACGGGTCTTGTTTTTATTTGTTTGTTTTCATGTACGTTATATGTAAGAGCTACTTAACATTTTAATTTATCAAAAATAAAATATGTATAATTCAATAAAGTTTTAGCACAACAAAAAAATAAAAATAAATTTTAAAGGAAAATAAGAAAAAAAAATTTTCCGGTAATGGTGGTGCATCTGCTTCCGAACGCTCTCAGGAGGGCTCGTGCCCCGGATGTGCCCAGTGCGGTGAGACACCTGGCTTGATCTCTTGATTGCCGTGCCTCCCTGGTGGTTGCTCAGGGATCCAAGTAAAATGAAATGCTTAACAACTTCGATCTTTACCCCACTGATCATGACGCTGCCCACAGACCCCGCTGTGGGAACCCCTGTTTCCGTTGTGTTGAGGTGCATCGGAGGTCACGGTCTTCGCTCTTCAAGCCCTCCCCCCTGTCAGCAAGCAGGGCGAGGTCATTTGCATATGACAGGTCACTGACGAGCGTCCTGCAATCCTGATGCTCAGTCCTTGGTCCTGTCATTCAGCATCTTGTCTCCATCCTCATTTTAACCCTGTGTTAGACAGGGTTCTCTAGAGAAACAAAGCCAGGGCACTTATGATTTTATATATATTGATATAGGTAGATATATACAACATAAGAAATCAACAGCTGATTAGTCTATAAGCTGTACATATGGCTCAGTGCAACTCACTTCCGTGAGACAGCTAATACACTGGCAGTCCTTCAAGTCTTGAGGGCCGCTGGGTGCAAGTCAAGGAAGCAGGCAGCTGAGTCCTCTGAAGAGCAATTCAGGCAGTCCGGCCACAGACAAGAAACAGGGAGGCAGATCACCAACAGTCAGCCAGATGACAGGATCCGACAGTCTCCAGCTCAAGTGATGTGTACTCCAGTAGCATGGTGGAGCAGGTCTTGAAGGAACCTCAAACTGCAGTGACACAGTCCACGGGTTGGGTGTCCCACAGGTGGTGTAGCTTGCATGCTGAGGCACAGAACCAGCTAAGGCAGCCGCACACCGGTCCGAAGATCAAAGAGCAAGAGACAAGAAAGGCGCGGCTCTCCAAGCCACTTATCTCTCTGCCCTGCAATTAATCCCACGTGTGTTCATTGGTCAGGTTGCACAATACACCTACCTATCACAAACTCCACCCCATCTCCTTCTTTCCCTTGCTGTCCCTCCCCTCCCCCGCTGCCTCCTCATAGTCTTCAAAGTCTTTTCCTTTGGTGGGGAAACCACTGGTTTGGTTTGTCCCTTATCACCATGGTGTCAGGAAACTCATCTTTTTTAGCGTGACTCCCGTGGCTGCGTGGGATGTTTTGAACTGGTGTCCATGCCGCGAGGTGTCTGACAGACCCGCCACTGCTCATTTTAGGGAGGCATCGTACTCCGCTGGGTGTTTGCACCAGGGTGTGGTGTGTTCAGTCATACACACACACACACACACACACACACACACACACACACGGCGTTCGGCTGTTGTGCCCTGCACTGTTGGAAAAATCGCTGCGATCCATGTGGGCAGCACCCTCTCGGCTCTCTAACTCCAGGTGTCCCCACATTTCGTTGTGAGGCTTTCCTGCATCTTCTCGAGCTGCCTTTTGGAATCCACTCCTGCCCTTGTACCTTACTTCTTCCACTCGTTTGAGCGACTCTCCCTGCAGAGCAAACCTCTTCCGACATCCAGTGTGGTCCTGCCTTCCGGTCTTGTCCTTCCAGTGCCCACTGGCACTCTTCATGCCCACTGTCTCCGATGCCATCCCACCACATCTCTGGCCTTCCTTCAGCAGTGGTCAACACCATCAAACTGCTCCTCGAGATGATCTCGACGATCCGGTGGGATGTACCCTCGAGGGTCTTGGGTCTCCGGGACTTAGGTTGACGTCCTTGATTGTCAAGTTCGACTTGCAAAAAAGAGCAGCTGGCGGTCTGTTCCATGTACAGCCCTCGTCCTTGTTCTGATGGCCCATGTGTTAGTCTGGGGACTTTAGAGAAACAAATCCGCAGAGACTCATGTATCAGAGAGAGC